ATGGGAAGAGGGGGAAAGGAAGAAGATTCCAGGATAATAACTTATCTCCGTTGAGAAATGTGTTTTTGTTTTGGCATAAAATAACTCAAAGGATCTTTAAACAACAGGCTGAGGTTTTACATAATCAATACATATTCAGGAGTCGCTAGCAGTATGTAGATGTGGAAATGTCCTACACAAGCACTGCGCTGGTTTTGGTGCTCTAACAACACTCAGCATATACGACAATTTCTGACGTGTGGTAGGAGGGAAGGCATTCTAACACAAACCCAGCCATTGCATAAATCCAAAATGGGTTTTCTTTTGTCACCTTTAAAGTTCCATGAACATTGACACTGAAATTAAACGGAAAAGTTCCAGGTGAATGGACTTACAAGGCAATTTGTGTCTTACAGTTGGGTCCTCAGAGGTCACTTAGCCTATTTTCCCATTGGCGTCTGGAATGGAAGGTCACCTAGCTCACCCTGAAGGTGTCCAGCAAAGGATAGCCACAGGTCTCCTTACAAAGGCTTTTCTTATTCTGATGTAATTTTGAAACCATCTCTACTTGCCATGTATATAACAGCACGCTCTTATAGAACAAATGTTTGACATCAAGTTCTAAAGAGGAATCATGATAGCAGGTTGTCTGAAAAAAATCCTTTCATTTTCCTTTATAACCTAAGAAGACCTCCTATTGACCATTACATGCAGAATCTAAACATCTAATGACTCAGAGAGCAATCACACTGGGGAGCGCTCAGATTTGTGGAGGAAGACACAAGTGCCAAAAGGGAGCCGTCTTGCAGTCGTTTTTTGCAGGGCGTAAGAGCCCAGGCATCCCACATGTCTCAAGGAACATGAGTGAAAGTTATGACCTAGTTATCCCTCGTTCTTTTGAAAAATGTGCCTGAAAGAAAGCCAGACATGTTCCAGGACAGCCAGCTGACTAACTCCTACTGTTAACATGCACCAGCAATTCCAGGACAGGAGGTGACTGAGAAACAGATTTGCTTGGTTTTCCAGAAGTAAGAGCTGTTCTGTTAAATCTACTTGCTCAACCTCCATCCTCCCGTTCGTGTGGAGTAAAGGGATTGGCAAGAAACACTACCAGGCAAGTCCCCCGGGACTCTTAAGTTATTTCAGTAATTTTCTAATCTACTCAGGACTTTTATAAACTGATTATTAGAAACTGAATCAGCAATTGGAGAGTTTGGACATAGTTTCTAATGTAACCATTTCCCGCATGTAATCATGACTCACACATTTTTGCACAAAGTCCCTGCTCTTCTTTAAGCAGAATAAGTTGGCGGGGAGGAAGCTCACTCGTTGGTCTTTCCATGATAAGAAATTTGAATAATCATTCTTGGAATTTCCAATATTCCATGTCCTTAACTTGGATTTGGTCTAGAGGTGGAAGTTTCAGGTTGAGGAATTAACCTAGATTTTAAAATTCTAGTTCTGTTTAGTAGCTGTGTTACCTTGGGAAAATTACTTAATGATGAAAAAATAAGAAAAAAATGCATGTAAAGTTTAGCACAGAGTTAGCATGATAAATGCCAACAATTACAGCCATTTTTGGACCTCTAGCATTCAGTTTCCTCTGACTTTACCTGCATCTAATTGGATAAAAATATATTTTATTGACTAGCAGATATTAAACAGAGATATTTCTGTGTGTTGCTGGTAGAGTTGGTGGAGTGATGAGATTTTTACCTGAAGAGGGGAATGTACTTAAGTGACCATGTAAGCTAGCTGATTGGCTGTCAATTTCTGGAATCCCATAGTTCCATCTCCACACTATTAAGAATTATTTATATTTCATTATGTCTAATTGAACTTCTAATTGCCTTGTGTGTGTTCCTCATTTATGGAAATGCTGCAAATATTTTTTTTTCAATACTGGAACAATACATCCTTGACAACAGTTACTGTATCATTTGTCAGTACCTTAAAAAACAATCCCAAATCTAGTTTCTTCAGCCTTTTGTCTTAGACTCCAATCCTACTTCTCTAGACCCTCCTTCCTGAGGCTGACTGAAACCCAGAGGAGTAACAGGACTCGACACAGAATGTCCAGCACTAGACTGAAAGGGAAGTGGACCCTTCGTGTTACATGAGGTGACTTCTCTCAAGGAGGAAACAAGCTTCAACCTCCATTGACCAGATTCCAGATGTACTGGGTGTGGAAGAGTGATGTATTTGACATACTTAACACATAATTACAATCTTGAAACATCAGACTTTAATATTCAAGGCTTTGGCTTCGCCTTTGCCTTTCTAAATATTCATTCATTCTTTCATTCACTTACTCAACAAGTATTTATTGCGTGCTAAAAATATACTAGGAAGTATGCTAGATTTTTCTGTGTCTTCTAGTCCTAACTGGATTATGTTTCCATTTGGAGCAAATATATTGTACCTTATTCATTATTCAACACGTGGCCTGTAGGAGGGATTCAACCAACTCAATAAACGTGCATTACATAAATGAAAAATGAGATGCAACTACTATGCCAGACATACATAACAAATCACAAAACATGTATTCCTATGTCTTGATCATCTTTAAACTTACAATTATAGCAGGATATGAATGCAAATATTATCTCCATGAATAATATATGTACCATCAGTATTTTGTTAGACCTTTCACTTAGATTAAATATATAATTTATATGCTTATATAAAAATAAGATAAGATCAACAACCATGTAAAATTTTCAGGGATTCAAGAGCTTTTGGTGAAAATTGAATTTAAAATAGGACTTCTCTCCGACTCAAACCCCCTTTCATGTAGCAAAAGGAAATGAGCAAAGAAATCCAAGCACACTAAAGTTCTCAGGGCCAAACATTTTGATTCAATATGTTCTGCTATAAAATATTGGCCTTGTTTGAATTTTTATTGCTATATGTTCTCAGTCTATATTTAACTGCGAGAAACACAAATAAGAAAGAATGTGCAAAATAATTCTTTTCAAGTGCATGGCAGTGAATTTGAGAAAACATATATTAAAGGAACACTTTGTATTTTTAACTTTCCATCCCTTTCCCGAGGCCTCCCTGGGCCAGATACGATGAACTGTTTATTGAACTAAGAACCCAGCTCGCTTGGAATGAAAATTCTGAAGGGCTGCTCAGAACCATCTATGATACGCACCTTACTTCACCATGTTCTCAACATTTCTTTTAAACTCTTTTCCTAGGTGAAATTAGAAATGTTTACAATGGAGACATTCAATTCCCCAATTCCTCATTTGCTCAAATTAACTTTTTAAAAGTTGGGGTGTTCACTCTGGATCAGCTCAATCCTGACTAACCAGCCAACCATCTGCCTCACCAAGGCTGCGTCCTTATCTGCCAACCTCTTCCATCCACCCCTTTTCCATGGGGTAATACATTTTAATTGGTGCTTCTCTGCAATCCCCTCACATCTCCATCTGGCCAAATAAACACATTTTTTTTCCTATTCAGCCTCAACATCTTGGCAGTTTGCAAGAGGATCAACTTGCCACACTGGGTAATCTCTAAGCTGCAAAAATTCTAAAATTAAAGGCACAGGTACAGGTGGTATAATCAATGGCTTTCTCGAGGATGGCTCATCTACAAAGTGGCTTTGTGCTCAACAATGGTTTTGCTTTTTTCTTGATTTTTTAGAGAGAGATAGAAACATCGATGAGAGAGAAACATCAGTTGGCTGCCTCCTGTACACTCCCCACTGCAGATCGAGCCCACAACCTGGGCATGTGCCCTGACCAGGAATCGAACCAGCAACTTTTTGGTGCATGCATCAACATTCAACCACTGAGCCACACTGGCCGGGCTCAACAGTGTTTTTACACTGCTTCCTTGGTCTGCATCGCAGTTCCTGAGCAGTGCTAGTGTTGAGAACTGTGTCCTCTCCGAGGGCAAATCACTGATGACATATTCCGAGGCCAGCATCACTTTTGAACATAGGCTTATTAACACCCAATTTTCACTGGTCAGGTTGGGACCAGTATAACCAGGGGACAGAAGGGTGAAATGGTTAAGACTGTGGGCTCTGGCCCTAACTGGTTTGGCTCAGTGGATAGAGTGTCGGCCTGCGGACTGAAGGATCCCAGGTTCGATTCTGGTCAAAGGCATGTACCTTGGTTGCGGGCACATCCCCAGTGGGAGGTGTGCAGGAGGGAGCTGATCGAATTTCCTCTCTCATCGATGTTTCTAACTCTCTATCTCTCTCCCTTCCTCTCTGTGAAAAATCAATAAAATATATTTTAAAAAAAGACTGTGGACTCTGGAGGCGGGTTGGAGTTCCTATCAAGTTGCTCCATGCCTCAGTTTCTCCATCAGTAAAAACGGAGATAATATTAGTACTAACTTCATAAGATTACTGTGAAGATTAAATGAAGTATCTGACATGTTTAACACAGAGCTTGGCTCATATTCATGAACAATTATTATTTTTAGGGCAGGGAAGTAGACAAATTCCTTGGGCAGCAGGAAGGAAGGGAAAGAATAACTAGTTATGAAGTTACTCCTCAAATAAGTCCTTTCTCTTTAAGTGTTTAACTTTTTTTTTTTTACACGGTTTAACTGTAAAGCAAAGTGTAAGGGATGACTGGAAGATATCATGGTCTGTGTGCTCATTCATTAAGTGCTCTCTCTTATTTTTTTGAGGCTCTGGACAGAATGCTCCATTTCCCTCGAACCCTCATGGTCATTTGTGTGGAAAGGAAGAATGGCTCCAGGGCGAAGTGGCCAGTACTGCTTTCTTGGCAGCTATACATATAAGGTATTGTTTCTCTCACTCATTTCTGGTTTATGTGTCTCTCCCTTTCAGCAGCTCCTTTCCTCTCTCCCACTTTGATGAGATGCCTTTCTCAGAACTAAGCAGTGACCATCAGGCAAACCTCTGTGCATTATTACAACTGAGGATGTTTATGCAAGAAGAGGGCCAACTAGAACAGTGGGGCTCACTGGTCCCTGTCAATCCCCAGGGGTACACATGATTTGGAGCAGTAAGGGGGGGTGTCTCTCACCGGCTGCTTTTTCAGGGTTGTTGCACATGAAGCATTGCCATGCTCCCGCTGCTTCGCTGAAGCCAAACACGTCAAAGAACCTCACTTCTTCCAGATGGAGCTGTACCTGGTCCAGATCCTGTTTCAGGAACACAAAGCACAGGGAACATCAGCGGATCTGCCTGCTGCAGGGCATCCTGAAACGGGAAAGGGGGCCTTGGACGCAGGATGGCCAATGCTCAATCTCAGTGCTAAGGACGAGGAGGGAGTGTTGAGAAGACCCCTCTCCCCTCACTGTGGAAAAGAACAGCATCTCAAACTCTTCCGGGAGTGTCTTAAATGCAGTGGGCATGGGCCCCAGGGCTGGGCACCAGGGTAAGTGGTGAGGGGTCAGAGCCTGAAGTACCCAGAATGTTATTGCGTCTAGACACAGTGCCAGAATTTCTAAAAAGAAGGGATATCCAGGTGGCAGTGTGGTTAAAAGGAACACTATTGGGGGATTTGTCTTGTAGTTACCCTTGACATGAACTTGAGAATCAATTATCCCTATCAAAAAATTATTTTTATTAGGTTGGTTTGCAGGGGATTGGTGGAAAACATGAAGAAGGGCTTAATCCTTCAGCCCTTGGCCCCAGTATTGCTTTAGTTGTATGCTTTATCTTAAAAGTCTATGCAAATTTTACAATCTATTCCCTAATATGGCTTTATTGGTTTTAATGGGAAATAATGTCTTAAATTACATGTCAGTAAATTAGTTAACCTTTTCCCCTCCAAATGGTTGAGTAGAATTGACACACCAAGAAGACTGACCATGTTTTATGTGTCCTGTGGCATTGTGCCAGAGGAGAGAGTTTCCATTACACTGTGAATGGATGGAAAATGATTAGCCTAACCAAATTAAATAGCTCTACTGTCCTCCTGAGGCTCTGCTATTATGTAAATGACGTGTATCCTTTGCTACAGGACGGCCAGAACTGCACTCTTAAAAGGTTGCTTTCCTAAGAGGGAATTAATGTTCTTGCTAGCCTTGCACGTGCCCAGCCAACTTATGTGTTTATCCTCTGTTGAGCTATAATTTTACTTCTTTTCCGCTGGCCCACACACTCTTTTAAAAAAAATGTTTATTGATTTTTAGAGCGAGAGAGGAAGGGAGAGGGGTAGAGGGGTAGATAGGAACATCAATGAGAAACATCATTGATGGGTTGCTTCCTGCACTCCCTACTGGAGATTGAGCCCACAACCTCAGAATGTGCCCGTACTGGGAATCAAACCGGTGACCTCTTGGTTCCTAGGTTGATGCTCAACCACTGAGCCACACCTGCCAGGCTGGCCCACATACTCTTCTCTCCTACCCATACTAACATCTCCTAGTGTGTCCAAGAGCTGAGGGGTGAACTGCTTATGGTGGACCTAAAATAGAGGATGATCAAGTAGATACCCATATTTCTGCCAAAGAATATGGGTAACTACTTGATCATCCTCTATTTTAGGTCCACCATAAGGAGTTCGCCCCTCAGCTCTTGGACACACTAGGTTTCCCAGGACAAATGGTTTCCCAGGTCTATATTTGTTGACAAGTGAGAAGTATGCTAGACTCTAAGCTCATTGAGGGTAGACATATATTTACCTTGTTCACAGTTGTATTCCCAGAGTCTAGTCCGACATCAGGAATGGATTAATGTCATTGGTTGGATTAATGTCATTGGTTTGCAGGCCCAGTGAAAAGTTTACGGATAGACTATACAAACAGTATAGTGAGAATTTTAAAAGGATTTCTTTTTAGAGAACATTCACACCCACTGGAACATAAACCCAACGAGGGCAGAGGTTTTGTCTGTTGAATTGGCTGTTGCAAACTCAGCACCTAAAAGTGCCTGTCACATAAGCAAGCATTACATAAATACATTTGGAATAATGAAAGGTATAAACTGGGACTAGAAATGAATACTTTTCAAACATCCTTTATTAAGATTATTACAGCTCATGTGCTTGGATTGGACGCTTTGGAGGCTCCACATGCTGAACACAGCATTTCAAGTTGCTAACATTTAATACCATATTTTAGGCATTCCATCAGGCACTGGATATACAGAATGTTGTTTCAACAAAAGTGACTTCAAATGTGTTTAATGAAAAAAAGGAGGCTTAAACATTATTTTCTTAAAACCATGTTCCCAAGATAAAGACTGAAGAAGCACCTGGGAGTTTTGTAGGTTTCAAAGGATGAAATCCATATTAAAATTTATGGAGGAAAAACAGATGTTCATAAATACCAGTTTCAAAACTGCTAAGTCTCTGAAGTCTGTACTTGGCCATTGGCATGCAAATCACTTCCCTATTTTCCCACACAATTAGAGTTCAATTTTTCATTCACCACAAACACTGTTAGCAAACAAAGTATTTAATACTTAAGGGTTCCTTTATTTTTCCTGTCCTGAGACCAGAAATGTCCCAGGTTGTTACCTATAAACCACATTTGTCTTGGTAAAGAGTTATTTAAGAAGTTTAAGGCAGATGGCAAGCTCCATCTCAGTGTTCACGTTCTGAAGTCAAAAGCATGCAGTTACAGATCCTCCCTCTTCAGAGGGTTTAGGTGTCATGCAGAGAGAACTAGTGAGGAAGAGAGACGGTTCTGTAAACTGTTGAAGTCGGCAGAACAGCCAACTTGAATGGAGAGATGGAGGAAATGCAAGCAATCCTAAATATTGCTGGGAAATCAAAGCAAAATAAACCACAAAACAAGCAAACAAACCATCAGCCAGTGATACCTAAATGTTTGAAAATTTGATCTCTTAATAGCCTCGAGGTCATTATTTCTCTACTTAATCTTCTTTACCCTCCTGGGTCCTGTAGCTTCCCCAGGCATTGCCCAAGAATTTCTACACAACTTCCCTCTTTTTTCAAGACAAGAGAACTAAGACGGACTTGATTAGAGAATTGCAAACTTCCTTTAAGACATCTAGACTCCAGAAGAGTAATGAAAATCATTCATATCTAAGTAGAGTCAGTCATTCTCTAAGTACTTCATTTCAATGGGATTACAATAGCCAGACCCTAGAGTGACACCCCTCCCCCTAATAATTGTGTTCATCCCTTTGGAGAGTCCCCTGCTCTTAAGAGTGGGAGGGACCTGTGACTTCTTCTAACCAAGAATATGGCAAAAGTGATAGGACATCAATCCTATGATTGTCATAATGTACACACACACACACACACACACACACACACACACACACACACACCCCAACCTGTCTTGCTAGATGCAAAGGGAGGCCCTCCTCCTGGACTTGAAGAAGTAAACTGCCAAGTTGTGAATGACCCATGGACAGGGCCACATAGCAGGGAACTGTGGGTGGCCTTGCAGGACCTAAAGGTAGCCTTCAGCCAATAGCCAGTAAGAAATCCTGGCCTTCATTCCTACAAACCCCAGGAAATGGTTTCTGCCAAGAACCTGAGTGAGTCTGGAAGCAGATCCTCCCCATTTAAACCTCTGAGAACACAGCCCAGACAATATCTCGTAGCCTGTGAGACCTTGAGCAGAGGACCCAGCTAAGTCACAAGCAGACTCCTGACCCGAGGAAACTGTGAGATAACAGATATGTGTTGTTTTAAGCTTCTCGGTTTGTGGTATTTGTTATGCAGCATTGAGGATCAATACTGAGATTGTGTCACGAAGAAGGGAAGGTCAACCCTGTTGGCCAATTCTCAATGAAAATAATGATTTTACTTCGAGGGGACACATTCTTCCCAGAGCACTTCAAATCAGGCCTCAATAAAACCCGAAGAATTTTGAAGTCCAAATTATTTCTGCTGACTTAAAGAAAAATATATGTAACCATAGTAAGCATGCCATTAAGAAGGATTTTTCTAATAAACACCATCTAATTCAAGAGGGGTAAAAGCCCCTGGAGGGAAAATAATGTTTTTAACCAGTTTTAGAAGAAAATCATTAATGAGAGCAGGAATTTGGGAAACTACATAAAAAGTCCCGTGTGAAGCCTCCTCAGGGAAAAATCAGCCAGGCAGCATGGAAAGATGAGAGGATATTTACAACATTATTTTGATGACAGTGACAGCATGAGTCAGCGCTATGGATTCCATAAAAGTGCAAAGTGGCCGCTGGATGTTATAATGTGGTCTGTGTACTGTGAGAGGGCACTGAGAAGCAATTTTCCAAAAATCAGTGAAAGCATACATCTGGAAGGAGTTTAGATCCTGGCACATTTAAATTCTGTTCTAAAGTTATTTTTGCACAGATACAAACATAGGATTGCCTCATGTGCTCTGTGTGCCTGTGATTAATAGGATCAATTCTAGGCACATACTTTAAGTATGTGTTTAAGAAACATAAAGGAGAGGTTTTTTTTTTAGTATAAATAATCCCCAATATTTTCACATAAAGCAGGGGATTATGGCTATTTCCAGTGCACACATTCTAATTATTGGGAGTCCAGGGTGTGAAGTACATTTATTGAGGGAAGAAAATGAATGATTCATTTCTATATTATTCATCTTCATATTATTTATATTGTCCTACATTTTGTAGGCATAGTGTCTTATAAGAAACACTGTAGACTGAATGAATATACTAACAAAAGGACTCTAAAGAATATTTATGGCCTGACTGGCATGGCTCAGTGGTTGAGCATTGACCCATGAACCAGGAAGTCATGGTGCAATTCCTGATCAGAGCACATGCCTGGGTTGTGGGCTTGATCCCCAGCAAGGGGTGTGCAAGAGGCAACCAATCAATGACTCTTTTTCATCATTGATGTTTCTATCTCTCTCCCTCTCCCTTCCTCTCTGAAATCAATATAAATATATTTTAAAAAAAGAATAGAAGGGAACTTTAAAAAATATTTATGCTACAATTTAATTTTTAAATTTATTTCAATTTCTGAAAAATGGTACAATTGAATTCAATTCATAACACTTAGTCTTTACAGTAACTGGTGTCAGGAACCAAGGACAAATAGATGAAGGAGACACAGTCTTGTATTCCAAGGAAGTGAGAAAGCAATTCATTGGGTCCACACTACTCCTCATGGAGGAAAATTGAAATATACCATTATTAGTATTTGGTTGTGATTGTTATTAAGCTTATTTTGGTATGAATCTTTTGGCCCTCAACTGGATTAA